GCTGTGGGTGTATTACATTTACAGATTAAGGTTAAGGGGCGATAATATTATAATAAGATCCCTTAAAACCTGGAAAAGTCAGATTGTCATGATATGTCACCTTTAATAGCTTTCATTGAATGGCAGGACATGGCAGAGGCCTAACAGCAACTTAGATGTTCTGCAACTTAGAGGCACTGCAGAGAATTTATTACCTTTACACTCTCACTGCATACAGAACATGACAGTCTTGAAGGAAAACCTCCATAACAAACTTACAAATTTAACACCCAATAAACATGTGGTTGTTGTGCTGTAGTTGTTTATGAACTGGCAGGCTAATTTGTAATGTGTTCGGGATGTCTTGCCTCCAGAAAAGCAAGTCATTTAGCTTGATTATTTTTGGAGGTGACATTAATCACTTATTGGACAGAACATTGTGTACTGGAGAATGGTATTTTAAAGCAAGTACAGGGACACATACACTTGAGGTAAGTATATTTCCATTATTATATTGTCTTAGTGGACATATATAGGCTGTAGTTTTAGTGTTTGCTTATAGACTTCCAATGAGAAGCCGAAAGCCCTAATAATAAACTGTAACGAATTCAGTCCACTGAAGGCAAGCGTAGTGAAGAACCCAAAATGTCTTTGAGGGTCACGTCATTAAAATCCACAAAGTGACATACCTCACAAAAATCTGCCACATACTCCTCTATAGCCCGGCCGCCCTGACACAGGCAGAGGAGACGTGAAACTGCTGGGTTCATAGTGCTGGTCGTGTATTCTGTAACAAATTCAGTCCACTGAAGGCAAGCGTAGTGAAAAACCCATGTGAAGTTGTAACCCGCTGTCGGTGAGTCTAGTCTGTTCATGCCTAATGGCATGAATACATGAGGGCAAGGGAAGCATGACACAAACAGGGACCATGACTAAACTCCAAAATAAAAGACATGAAAACATGAACAAGAAACACAACCCAAAACACCACATTACATAAACTCAATTCATAAAAGCCCTTTAAAGTTATGCAACATCCAAGCTTGTGGGTAATAACTAAGCAAAACTTTATTAATTTTGACAAAAGGGCAACAGTTGTAGTAGAATTACTTACCAAACACTATTAATTAGAACAAATAGCAAGCTGTTTATTTACTTAATTCCCTAAAAGGAATAGCAATGATGGATGGAGATAACATGTGGGTAAGAGTGATAGTGCAAGAGTAAGCACATGTTACAGGCCATCATGCTAAAAGAATGAAATGATACCATAATAATGTCAGCAGAATTTCAGCAGTCAGTTACAGTAACCATAGTTAAAGCACATTATTTCAATGTTTTTAATATTCAGTAATGTGAATTGTCAGGAAATACCTCTGAGAGTAGATCAAGAGTGCCAAGTATTATTTTATGTAGAAAATGTGCTTATGTGAACACATGGTTCATCATCTAATTCAAGTTTCACTGCCTTGTACTGCAGGATATCCTTTAAAACATTCATCAACATCAACATCAAACATTATATATTTATGGTAGATATTTTGTAAATTTCCTACCATATAAAAAAATGTATTATCATTAGAAATATGCATTGCTAAGGACTTCATTTGGACAATTTTAAAGGCGATTTCCTCGATATTTAGATTTTTTTGCACCCTCAGATTCCATCAACAAAGATGGTAGTTCATCATTGTTTCCCTTATGGAAAAACAATATCTAAAACTTTAAAATAAATAAACATGACATAAAAAACTTTGTACCTATAGTTTTAAGTTCAGGATTGAAAGAAGCAACCGTTTGGTAGGAACGGATGCTGACAAACAGCCATAAAAGCCACCATGGGAAAATGCAGTATAGCAGCTCATGCCAAGCAGTCGTTATGGAAACAATCTCAGGCAGGCTTTCATCTGGAATGGATGGTCATGGCACTGAGAGGTTACCATGGCTATCAGTATTGTATTGGGGTTTTATGGGATCTATTCTGCTGAGAATGTAATCTAAAGCCAGAATTCTGCAGGAAATCTGCTGGAATTATCAGTTTTCCTCTGTTTCCTCTGGAGTTCTTGAAAGTTCAACACCTGTGTCTAGACAACCACACACACAGTTCAGAGAGGGCATGTGTGGAATTTGGAAGCTTGTCTTCTGTTCTAAACATGCTGTTGACTGTTGGTGAGCTGTCCTTCATGGTAACACTGCACCAGACAAAAAATCTGCTCCAAAAACTTAGTGAAATATCTACATAGACTGCATTGCTGCCTTCCAAGATGCCTTTCTTTTGGTTACATGGCAGCATTGCATGTTTCCTGGAGGGCCACTTTCCTGTTCCAACACACCAGTCTGCAAGTTTCTAGTGATCCTGGAGATGTTGATTAACTGGTTCAGGTCTGTTTAATTAGGGCTAGAGCTAAACTCTGCAGGAAGGTGTCCCTCCAGGAGCAGGTTTGTACACCCCTGCTCATGAGTAGTGTATAACAACAATTGAAAAATAGCAGGAGAATACAAGAACACATCGTGAGTAGTCCCTTCGGAAGTAGTTGCTAATGCAGACAGTGGACAGCAAGGCAGCTCACTAGGTCTTCACGCAGCTCCAATGACAATTCATTCCGGTGATTGGAACTCTGCTACTTTGGGGCTCTTTAGGAAACTGACCCTGGACACTTCAGTAAGCTTCTCTTCTGAAAGGCACATTATCTTGGCTAACTACTTGCATTACTACTGCAGAGATCAATATCACGCAACCTGTACCTAGAGCGTGACTATTAGAAGCCAAACATTTTAAAGATTAATATCCAAAGATTTTCACCTCAGCTAGGGTCAGTGTACATGACCATCGGCCCAGGACTGAAACATAAGATTGAAACACAAGTAATGTCTAGAGATAAGATTGTGCACAATGTCAAGTCAAATGTATTACTAAAGTGCTTTCACAATACAAATCATGTCAAAGCAGTTTTACAGGAAGTCACACTGTAATTATTAAGGTCAATGGTTCTCAACCTTGTTCCTGGAGCCTTCCTAACACTGCACATTTTACATGTATCCTTAATCAGTCACACCTGATTCAGGTCGTTAACCAGTAACACCTGCATCAGACAAAGGGCATACAAAATTTGCAGTGTTGGGGAGACTGCAGGAACAGGGTTGAGAAACCCTGACATGAATGATCCATTTTAGATAAATCAGAGTGCTTCTCCAACCTGTTCTGGGGAGACCCAATGCAAGTCTTGCAGTATGTACTAATGAGCTGATGAGTTGTATATGATGTGTAAGATGAGGGAGACATACAAAATGTGCAGTGGTGGGGAGTCCCTAGGACAGGTTTGTGAAGCACTAGACTAAACAATTTTTGGTATAAATTATTTTCTCTAGCAGATCAGTTCCAATTTTAGTGAGCAAGACTGTATGAAATCATCACCGTGACAGAGAAACTTTGATGGTGTGGCAGTTCAATACGTGACATGGTTGATGTTAAGAGTTACTAAAGAAATGAGCTGCATGATTTCTATGAGTGTGTGCTATATGATAAATATTTACAGTGGATAAATGTGCTTAAGGGATTTAAATATAGGTCGGTTTTGGTCTACGCAAGAGTAAGCAGTTCTCACGGAGTAAAATCAGGCCCGGTTCTACGGGGGTGCTAGAGCACCCTCAAACGAAATCAATAGCACCTTCAGTTAAAGCTGTATTAATGGCATTTTATAGCAGATTTGGCAAACTATCCAGTGCGCTATGGTTTGCGCTCTGGAGATCAGTTTCTATTTCAATGTGTTTTTGCAGCGTTGAGCAGTGTAACCAATCACAGACATATTTGTTGATTTTTTTGAATCAGAGGCGTTTAAGAATCCACTCACCGCTCAAATCGCTGGAGTTTTTTTCAGGTATTGTGTTCCACATGAGTCATCTCATTATAACAAGTGCAGACGCGATGTAAACAAGAAATTTGTTGTGCAGCGTAAAGAACTATAACGTATCTTCGTGAGATCGCGATGAACTAAGATGAGTGACAGCTTTTAGTCACTAATTTTACTCACTAATTTAAGAAGCATCCTCAGTGATTTGATTCTGGAGCCAGGCCTGCGGGGTATTAAAGGGGTCATTTGACGTTGCTAAAAAAGAACATTATTTTGTGTATTTGATGTAATGAAATGTGTTTATGTGGTTTAAGGATAAAAAAACACATTATTTTCCACATACTGTACATTATTGTTTCTCCTCTATGCCCTGCCTTTCTGAAACGTGTCGATTTTTACAAAGCTCATCGTTCTGAAAAGCAAGGTGTGCTCTGATTGGCCAGCTATCCAGTGCG